TAGCCAAGACCATCATTGCCGCAGCTGACCATCATTTGAGAACGGCACAAAGAGCGGCAGAGAGGGCCTGGAGGCAGTGGGCCAAAGAAGCCTTCCTGGGAGGAGCATCTCGGGCACATTCGTCCTCCAAGGTTCGGGCTCGACAGGAGGTGCCTGCCTACTCCCACGACGCTCAGCCATATCAGATGGCTGACCGCACGCTCGACAAGTGGAAGGACGTTTGGACCTACCACGGGGCGTGTTCTTTGCCGCTGCCTGTCGATCACGCTCAGTGGCCGTTGCTTCCGCCTTTGACTGCATCGCAGGTGCGTGGAGCCATCAGGAGTTTTCCGTTGAAGACGGCCTCGGGCCAGACGAGGATCGCGCCACGCACGCTCGATGTGCTGTCCGACCAGGCCTTGCAGGGCCTGGCCGATATGTTCATGCTGTTTGAGAGTTGGCTGGCCTGGCCCACGGACAGGCTCTACAGCGAGCTTGTTCGCCTGCCCAAGCCTGACGGGGGCACTAGGTTGATCGTCCTCAGCAATACTTTCGTCAGGTTGTGGGGAAAGCTACGTCGGCCGCTTTCGGCGGAGTGGCAAGAGACACACAGGTGCGAGCATATGTGGGGGTCAAGGGCTGGGCAGACTTCGACCGATTCAGCCTTCGACCACAACCTGAGCCAGGAGATAGGAGAACGTTTAGGTGAGCACACATGCACCATTCTCCTGGACATGACCAAGTGCTTCGATATGGTCAGTCACAGTGCACTTCTCCGAGAAGCTAGAGAGCTCGGGTACCCGCTGAGGCTCCTGTGGTTGCTCCTGGACTCCTACCGTCAGCCGAGAAGGATCAAGTGTTTTGGGTCTGTATCTAGGCCCTTGGTGGCCCATCAGGGTATTCTTGCGGGCTGCACGCACGCCACGTACCTTCTTTACCTCCTCACGTACCGAGCGGTCCAGCGCACGGCCAGCATTGCACCTTCTATCACGCCACGCACGCTCATGGACGATGTGGGTTTGCAGTACGTGTCGCCTGTTTTGAGGGAGGTGTCCAACCTGGCCCGTGCGGCCAAGGCGTTTACGTCGGATGCTGGAGATCTTGGGATGGTCCTGAAGCCGCCGAAGTCTGGATGTATCCCTGGGAACCAAAAAGTTTGGGGACAGCTCAAGAGGCACCTGGGAACCTTGAAGATCCCGTACAGGGCCCACATGAGGAATCTGGGACACGAGCTCACAGGGGGAGGGGGGAGGGGGCAAGCTAGGTGCGCTCGCGTCATATCTGACGTCCTACCCCTCCCTCCCATCCCTTACCATGGCGCTGATTTACTCTATCCGCGGACGCGTGTCGTAGCGGACCTGTGGCTCCGCGCGCGCGTGCGTAGTGGGTGGTGGTGCGCTGGTGCTGGTGCTGGTGCTGGTGCTGGTGCTGGTGCTGGTGCTGGTGCTGGTGCTGGTGCTGGTGCTGGTGGTGTTGGTGCTGGTGCTGGTGGTGGTTGTGGTGGTGGTGGTGGTGGTGGTGGTGGTGGTGGTGGTGGTGCGGCGCGGTGGTGGCGGGCGGATGGGCGCGCGAGAAAGAGGCCCGCGCTGGGGCGAGAACGCCATCCTGAACGACGGAGGCAAAACACCGATCCGAAAATGAGGCCCACGCTGCAGCGGGAGCATGATTCGGAACGATTCGGGAGTAGAAATGAGGCCGGCGCCTCAGCTAGGAGCAGCCTTATATATATATATTATATATTTATTTATTACATATTATAAAATATTATATATTTTTAAAATATCTATATTGTGAGACGACCCGTATGCGTCTGCGAAACATTTGGGAACTCATTCCACGGGTTTGTTGGCCAATATTTCTAAATCGACGAGTGTGTACGCATTGTGTTATTTTCTCTTATTCTGATGACAGAGGTCCGAGTGCTTGCAAACGCCCCTCCACTTGGGGCGCTCCTCTCTCCCTCGGTCGTCCTCCGTCTCCTTCGGGGTTCCAAGGCTTGAGGCGCGTGCGCGAGCGCCCGCGGCGGATGGCAGGGGCTCTCTGGGTGCCTGGGCTGCAGGCGGCGGCGCAGGTGACACAGGCCTACCTGCTCCGCTGCCCGCCGCCGCCGCCGCCGTGTCCGCAGACGAGTTGTCCAGCGGTCGCGCTGCCGCCGTGCCCCCAGCCCGTGGCGTGCCCTCCTTGCCCAGCGTGCCACGCCAGTCAGTGCCCAGCGGCTGCGGAGGCCGCGGAAAACTGCAACGTCCGGAGCTCGGGCGGCCTGCTCCTCTTCGTTTTCGGTGTCCTGGCAGGCGCCGGCGTGACGGGCGGGTTCACCGCGACCCTCTTGTGCTGCGGGCACCTCGGGAGCTCAGGCACCGTGCGAGGCGGCGATGGCGGACCACGCGGGGAGATTCCAGGTGGCTTGGCTGCGCTATCGAGTGCCCGGGCCCGCTCTGTACCATCAAAGATTGCTCTTGAAGCAGCCCCGGTCGTCGGATGACAGTCGGGTGGTGCTGACGCCCGACGGTGACATGTACGTGGAGGATCTAGAGGTGAACGACGACGTCCGGGAGGTTCTCTATGAGAACATTCCTGGCGTGGAGCCCGCGCAGGTGCGTGGCCGCGGCTACAGGTTCGGCCAGATGCCCGCGGCTGACGGCTTCAGGAGGCTGGCGCAGCAGGCGGAGACGCTGCGGGACCAGGAGGACGCCGTGCGGGGGTTCCGAGCCCCGGCGGAGGGGGCCGGCAGCCTGGGCGGCTTTGAGCCGGTGGGGGGCACGGAGACCCTGCGGGGTGCGCCAGCCCTGCCGCCGCCGCTCCCGCCGCTTGCCGAGGCGCCGGGGCCCCCAGGGCGCTGGGTCATCGCCGTCGACACCGGCGAGGGCAAGGTGGGCGACTCCATCACTGTTGCGGATGCGTCGCGGGTGTCAGGAGACACACGTATCGGTGTCGCTCAGGTGTCAAACGGGGCCTGGGTGTTCGTGGAGCGGTTCCCCGACGGTGAGACCAAGGAGGAGTACCTCGACCGGACTGCCGGACGTCGGTGAGCTGGTGACGGCAACCTCGATGCACGGGTGCTGCCGGTGACCTACAACTCTTCGAGCGTGCGCCAGCGCCTCTGGAGGGAGACGGTGGCGAAGATGGCTCAGGTCGCGTTCTCGGACTGGCCGCTGCCGGGGCCGCGCGCCGTTGACTGGTGCGCGCGCTTCGTGGACCGCCGCGGGGGCGGCCCGGTCGACCACCACCGCTGGTGGGTCGGCCATCTCCGCCTGCAGGGCACGGACTTCGGTGTGCAGGAGCACGAGCACGGCATGCGGGCGTTCCAGTTCTTTGGGGAGTACGACCAGGTCGACCTCCCCAACCTGGTGGGCTTGGAGGTCACGCTCAGGCGGCGCCAGCTCATCGAGTACCACTACGAGAAGAAGGGCAAGGCAGCCACCGGCAAGGAGCAGGGTGCTGGGCTGTCGCGCGAGGAGGCGGCCTACTTCACTGGCTCGCACAGGCTCGGAGGTGAGGTGATGATCTGCCCCGAGTTGGTCGAGTGGGTTTCAATGGAGATCGAGAAGGACGCCAGCTTGGCGAAGCAGATGCGAAAAGCGCGGGAGGAGGCGCGCCTCTCGCGCAAGGATGGCTAAGCCAGCTCGGGGGCGGCAGGGCGACCCCGACCTGTCCGCCCGCCTGCCGCAGGGGGAGCGCCAGCGACTTCAGCAAGCTTGTGCGTTTTTTTGGTCAGCGCGATGTTCTACCTCTTCATGCTGAAGGATTCCTGGGGCGCGCAGAGCTCAAGGGGTTCAACGTCAGCCGGAAGGTCAGGCGCCGCGTCGAGGCCCGCTCGCACGCCGACCAGTGGTGCGCGGACGTGGCACGCTCATTGAATGAGATAGGAGGGCACCTGTGCAAGGATACGGACGTCTGCCGCTCCAGCCGCTTCCGGCCGCGCGTGCACGACCTCGGCATGGCCAACGTGAGAGCCAGTGTCGAGCGGTGGGGGCGGCCGCCAGCCGACCTCACCTGCCAGGGGGCCTTTGATGAGCTCCGGGCAAACCACAGCTACGAGGGCGCGCCTGTGGATGCGGCGCCGATGGACATGGGCTTGCTCAGCCTGAGCGGGGCCGGCGCCCCTGCCGACCTGGCCCAGCTGCTGCGTGAAGGCCGCTCTGAGGTCCGCGGGTTTGTAAAAGATTTTCTCTTGCCAAAGGATCAGGCGGATGTGCGTCTCGGCCTCGAGGGAGTGCCGCGCCGCCCCTACTCCGACCCTCTGCTGCGCCAGCCTCGATAGTACGAGCGTCTCTTGGCTATCATGTCAAGCAAAGGGATGATCGAGCACTCTCTCGACGTGGTCGAGACTTGCGGCTTTTTTTGCGCGTGGAAAAGAGCGGGAAGCAACGTCTCATCATTGATGCCCGCAGATCGAATTGTTGGTTCGAGGACCCCCCAAGACCCGTCTGGCCTCGGGGGGCTCTTTTGCTCGCCTCTTCGCTGCTGCCGATCTCACTCTCGAGCTCGGTCAGACTGACATACAGGATGCCTTCTATCAGCTTGCTATGCCAGTCGAGCTTCGCCCGTACTTTGGACTGGCGCCCGTTCGAGCCGGCCGTGTAGGGGTGCCCAGCTGTCACTGTCGAGGGATCCCAGGTCTCTTGTTCACCCACGTCTCTGTGTCCTGGCGACGGGGTGGACCCACGCCCTGAATTGGTGCCAGCGGGTGCTTGAAGACATCAGCTCCCGGGTCCCTGGTCTCGGGATGGAGTCCAGGATCCAGGATCGCCGTCGCCCTCCCTCACTTTCCCCTGTGGCTCACTCCGAATACGTCGACAACTTTGTTGCCCTCTCCCATGCCCCGGGAAACGCCCGTGCTGCGGCCCAGGGTGTGGCCGAAGAGCTGCGCCTCGCCGGGTTGCGTGCTCACCCTGTCTAAGCGGGACCGGGGGGAGAGGCTCTAGGTTGGTTTCTCGAGCGAGCGGCCGGTGGTGCGTGCTAAAGAGCGACGTGTCCGGGGGATCCGTCTGGCCCTGCAGCATGCCCTTGGGCGCCCCAAGCTCTCGGGGAAGGATCTGGAGGTCCTCGCGGGGCACTGCGCGCACGCCTTCCTCATGCGTCGTGAGTTGTTGTGCTGCTTCAACGCTGTGTGCGCCTTCATCGCAAGACATCGACACGAGCGGATGCCCCTGTGGGATGTGGTGCGCAAGGAGCTCCGATGGGCCTCCCATCTGGTCTGTTTCTGTTGGCGCGACCCGTCGGCTTCCGTCTGCCCTGTGGCGGTGTCGAGCGACGCGTCGGAGTGGGGGCACGGGGTCACCGTCCTGGTGGGGGACAAGGGCGACATCGTAGAGGCTATGAAGTACTCGGACAGGCGGCGCTTTCGAGACGGCTCCGGAGGGGCCCGTGCACAGGCTGCTGAGCTGATCGAGGAGGCCCTGGCTGGCCACCGCGCCCCTGGAGAGCGAGACGAAGGAGCTGAGCCGGGCGCCGTCGCGGACGGCGAGGCGGACTGGGGCCCCGAAGGAGGCGATCGAGTCCCACTGGTCCCCGAGAGGCTCCTCAAGGGTAAGTGGTCCGTGGTGTGCTCTCGTCCCTGGCAGCGCCCCGAAGGCATGCCCGCCCTCGAGACCTGGGCGACGCTCTGGGGGCTGCGTCGCATGCTTCGTAACTCACGGTGGTGGGGTCGAAGGCTTCTCTTCTTGTCCGACTCGATGTCCGCCACCCTGGCCCTGTCGAAGGGTCGGAGTTCGGCCCACGGCTTGCTTGGAGCGGTGCGGGCATGGGCGTCATCGCTGCTGGTGTCGGGCTGCTTCGCGACCGTCCGCTGGATTCCTATCGAGCTCAACTCGGCGGATGCTCCCTCGAGGCGCGGGCTCGCCCTCGGCTCCGACGGGCGGCGATCGCGAGGTGCCGATCCTGGCTCGCGCGGCGGGGCCGCTGCCGGTCCAGGTGCCCCTTCCGAGCGCCCTCTCGGCCGACGGGGCCCTGCTGCGGCGCGGGGCGACGCCGCCGCGGGCGCGAGGGCCGGCGCGGAGTGGCCGGGCGAAGGACTCGGCCGTCGCCCCTGCCTCTCCGCGCCGCGCAGGGATGCCCGCGATGGCGCCCGCGAGGCGGGGCCGCCGTAGCACGGCCATGGCCGCGGCCGCGCGGGCTCCCGCCCGCAGGCGCTGGGCGGTGAGCGGGGCGCCGGCGGCCTTCAACCGCATGAGGTTCCTGCAGCTCGAGAGTGTCAGGCCGCGGACGCGGGAGCTGTGCCAGACGAGCTGGGACCTCTTCGCGGACTGGGCCCAGGAGCGGAAGCTACCGATCGAGACGGAGGACGACCTCGAGACGGCCGTGCTGGACTACTTCGACTGCAAGTACTTCGAGGGCGTCCACTCGAGTTTAGGGGGCCGCCTGGTCTGTGCCGCGTGCTACCTGCGCCCGGAGCTCAGCCGCCAGCGCGGTGCGAGGCTGGCCCGCGTCCGGCAAGCCTTGCGGGGCTGGAGCCTGCGGTCGCCGAGCCAGTCGCGCCTGCCGACCCCGTGGGAGGCGGCGCGCCTGATCGCGGACCTCCTGGTGCGGAAGGACCGGTGGGACAGGGCCGCGGCGATCGTGATTTGCGTGATCTTCTACCTGCGGCCCAGCGAGCTCCTGGACCTGAGGGCCCGCCAGCTGGTGCCGCCGCTGGCCGCCGGCCAGTCGTTCCAGCGGCGCTGGGCCCTGGTGTTGCACCCGATGGAGCTCGGGCGGCCGTCCAAGACAAGTCGCTGGGACGACTCTCGGATCCTCGATCTCGACGAACACCAGTTCTTCGCCCCAGCGCTGGCTCGGCTGCGCGGCCCCGGCGAGGGGCCCGAGCGAATGCTGTTCAGCTTCGACTGCCCGACGTGGGCGCGGGAGCACCGTCAGGCCGGACTGGAGCCGGGCTTGGAGGCGCTGGGCCCGCCGACCCTCTACGGCCTTCGACGCGCAGGGGCGAGCCTGGACTGCGCGCTGGGTCGCCGCGCGATGCTCGAGATCCAGCACCGCGGGAACTGGGCGGCCGCCGACTCGATGAGGAGGTGCCAGAAGGCCGGGCGGCTGGCCGAGCAGCTTCACCTGCTCGCCCCAGGCGCGCGTCAAGCCGCGCCCCGATGCGCCGCGCAGATTGGCAGCATCCTGGGCGGGCGCTCGCCTTCCTGAGGGCGAACCTGCTGTCGGTCAAATTCGCCCTTGAGATCTTCGCCGGCAGTGGCCACTTCTCCCAGGCGTGGCGCCAGCAGATCGGCACCCCCATCATCGAGTTCGATTTGAAGCACGGGGGCCAGTACGACGCGACGATGCCAGGGATTCAGAAGCGCATTCGTGGTTGGATCATGTGCGGCTGCGTGGCGGCCGTCTGGAGGGCACCCCGTGCTCTAGCTTCTCACGGGCTCGCGACAAGCCCAATGGTCCTCCACGGCTGCGCAGCGACGACCTGCCGATGGGACTTTCGAACCTCAGGGACGTTGACCAGCTCAAAGTGGACATCGGCAACACCCTCTTCAAGTTTTCGTGTTCTGCGCTACGGCTGTGCTCTCGACTGGCGATTCCAGC